GTGCAGCGAAAGTCGAAACCTCCTGTATATATGGTTACAAGAAAGGAGCCACATAGAGAGCGAGGTTGGAACAAGCGAGGCCTTGGCCCCTGCTTTCGTCTTCAACATCGGTTCTTGAGGTTCTTCATCGTCTGGTTTCACCTCTACCTAACTGAACTCTTTAGTGATACTACACTTCATTAATATCGGCGATTCCCCGGATTCTTATATCATCCTCACTACTAATGTTCTGATAAAAAGACGATTTTCCTATATTTCTAAGAAAAGAAACTGGCTCGATAACACTGGCTTCAGGCGTTAAGCCTTAATATTGTTAGATTGAATAACCCGTTTATAGCAATAACAGAAAACGCGTAGCCAGTGGACCTATCACTAGATGGCGAGACCTTATTCCCTACAGAAGATTTCATATCAAAACGTATGTTCTCCAGTTTTGCGGCCATAATACGGGAAGTTTCGAGAGGGACGAGCTATGAAATTAGCACAAGGAAGGCAAAAGATAATCAAACAAAACTGTGTGTATATCTTCAATCAAGGTTCGTACGGAAAGCAGAAAATTTGTTTTATGATACGCCCAGAGCTCGAAATTATTCTCCATATAAACTAATAGCATGCAGACGAGGTGCTCGACAAAGCAAGTTTCCGATACCACGAGTGCATCCTTTGGTAAATTACTTACTTTTCAGAATTCATGACGGTAAAAGATAACGGAGTATCAAGGAAAAAGCTAGTTGTCCACCGTTGTTTAGTATGAAGATATGGATTTGACTACTAAAGCAAAAGTTCGAAGAGTTCCCGAAGGTAACGGACACTTCAAAGGCAATATGAGCGCCTAGGTCCAACACAGGTCGGGAGACAGGAACAGATTCATATGAGATAACCGTGTCGTACAAAGTCCTTCCCAACGACACCTTTGCGGCCTACCATTATACTCAAGAATCTCCTAACATCGCATCCAGGATTCGAACTGCTGCTGACGTGTATGACAGAACGCACCTTACCACTACACAACCTCTGCTCTAAAAAATTTACAAATCTCCATCTTATTGTAGTTCTTTCTCTAATTGGCAGCATGTTGTAATCCTCACACTTCAGAAGCTACTACAAAGCAGTTTCCATTATTTTTCCGCTGCCGGGTATTGGGCCCTCCCACAAAATGCGCATTCATAATTCAGTACCGGTCAGTGAAGTGTGCGTTTTCACTTTTTCAAACGTAACTTCTTTAAAACAGCATCTTTACATCTAGTTTTTTCACCTCGAATGCCTATCACTGAATGTGATCGGAGAGCGAGTTTTCAATACCCTAAAAAGGTTAAGCCCTATAATAAAAGTGAAAATTCAATCTGCCTTAATTTTCTCTTTATGCTGCTTTGAGGGTGTTTAACATCACAGTTTTGTTTTATTCGATTACAGTATCAGCTATGAAGGTGATTTATCTGATTTTATTGAAAGTGCCAGCCGAAAATCTAAGACTGAAACTAAACGCCTCGTTCCGCCGCCAAAGACCAAGAAAGTGAAGGCAGATGATTCGGTCTCTGTAAGTGATTCAACTTCTTTCACGCTACTATTTGCTTTATTTAATGTTTTCAGCCTCTTTATTGAACCCTTTCTTTTATGAACATGAACCTGAGCAAGTTGATGAATCGGATGNAGTGAAGGCAGATGATTCGGTCTCTGTAAGTGATTGAACTTGTTTCACGCTACTATTTGCTTTATTTAATGTTTTCAGCCTCTTTATTGAACCCTTTCTTTTATGAACATGAACCTGAGCAAGTTGATGAATCGGATGGTAGTCTGAAAAAGGGCAAAAGGAGACAAACTAATATCAAGATAATTCTAAGAACAGTCTGAAGGTGCTTCATGCCTTCAGAGCAGGAGCAGATTATCAAATTGAACAAGTTTTTCTGCATATTGTAACTTAATGTTAAAGTTTATTTCCGTGATAATTTATTGTCTAGTTGGCCATTTCTTTACAACATGTGATAAGTAGCGCAACAGCAGTGCAGGCTCATCGAGAGGCATCGTAGTTTTGAAGAGGAGATAAATCATCCACTCTCGGGTTTAGCATCTTCTCCCCGAAAGTCGCGTCGCGCTCGCCGCAGCAGATCGCGAGCTGTGAAGGGAAAGGGTCGAATACTCGTGGTAGGATAGCCGCCGCGGAACCACTGACGTTTGCCGTGGGAAATTGGGAAAAGGAACCGTCACCCCCTTCCTCTCGAGCGGCTTTATATCTTAAGTGTCTGTCTTTTATTGATTCTAAGCCTTAGATCCTTGCACTATTTTTTAAAACTATTCTCTGCATTCTCTTCCTTAACCACGGGGTTTGTGAAAGGTTGCGCTAAATTCTGAGTGAATAATGTAATAGTGATTACGCTTGCGGATAATTTATTGAGTGATTATTTCTGTGTGATTGTTTTACTTCCCCTCGAAATGCAATTACATTGATGATTATAAAGTGTTGTGGTTCTTTGTTGTTGTGTTCTTACTTGAAATGATTGTCATTATCTGGGTTCCTACCCAGATCTTTTGAAAAGGTCAATCTATTCATCAAAGGATTTTCTTTAAATTGCCTACCATCTGTGTGTAGTATCAGCATGGCTGCCTCTGGGGTTTGTGGAACGTAAAGTTGGTGGTTCACGATGGCGTAATGGCAAGATGAATAGGTTGTTGGTTCGGTGACTGGCAGAAAGCGTCAATGATAAAGAAGCAGGACTATTTACTGAAAACGAGATCGAGAATGCCTCTAAGAGAACAGTCGCTGGTGAATAAGGACAGCTGGTAGGTGAGGCACTATATGTAGGAAGGTAAGTCGCTGTAACAGGTGCACCAGGCTGGCGGCTTGGTAGTCGAGTTGTCGTCGACAGTTCTCTCTAAATAGACGAGGCGGGGGTTTTGCAAAGTCACGTAAGGGAAACCGGTCCTTATTGTTCTATATACAGTATACCGGTCAGTGAGGTATGCGTTTTCACTTTTTCAAACGTAACTTTTTTAAAACAGCATCTTACACTGGTTTTTTCAGTGTGAATGCCTCACGCTGCATGTGATCAGAGAGCGAGTTATAATTAGCCTAAATTAATTGTGGAATATTTCGAAAGACTTTAGTCAAAAAAGGGTTAAGCCCTATAACACCACTGAAACTTCAATCTGCCCTAATTTTCCCTTTCTCAGTGCAGTAACTTGCATAAGAGCAAGTATAACAAGTAAAACATCAATGCTTCGTAGCGTAACCTCTAGAGTCAATGATGGCTTTAATCGGCTTAGCATTGACTTGATGAATTTGTCGATCTCTTCATGAGGGATGTTCTCCCATATGGTCTTAAGTTGAGGAGCTTGTCGTGCTTGTTGTAGGCTCAAAGGCTTTTGAATTGGCACTCGAGGCAATTCTACAAATACTCAATGAAATTCAGTCCTGGGGACCGCAATGACCACGGTAACAGAGGAATCAGTTGGTGGGCAGCTTCGCTTTGTGCTTCGGGTCATGGTATTCCTGGAAAATGAAGTGCCCGGGATCAGTGCTGCGAATGAACGGGTAGATAACAACCTCCATAATGTTGGTGCACATCTTGAAATCCATCTTACTCTCGATACTTTAGAGGGGCACACTCCTTTGCCACAGGAGCTGGCCTGAACCATCACCCTACCCCCGCCATTTTTACGGTTTGCAGCTGGTAACTTGCATGACTTCTTGTACCGAGTGGGCGTCCACAAACTTTATTTCATACTTGTCAAACAGCAAAAACTTGGGATTGTCGCTTTAGTTGACCTTATCTCACTGCTGGACTACCCAGTTTTTGTGAGCATGAGCCCAATCGAAAACCACTTTGCGATTCATGGCAGAAATCAGCGGCCTCTTTGCTGGACGATATCCAAACAGACCGACCTCTTTAAAAGAACGTAGAACAGTGTCCGCGGATGGATCGGTCTTTCGGGCGAGAAGTTTTGACGAAAACTTTCGACGCGAGCCATTTGTTGCACGCTGCACAATTTTTCTATCGACCGTCAATCTCGCTGCCTCTGGGTGACTTTTCAGTTCGGCTGACCCTGTGACCTTGTATTTCTTCCAAATCGCTTGTACGCACATAGCTGGCACTCCTTGACTTTCGAAAACTCGCCTAGATGTTAAGGCATCCTGGAAGATCGAATGACGGCGTCAACTTGATCTTGCCGTGACTTACAGATTCCCGTGTGCCTTGAAAGATTCTTATTGATGTACTAGGTGCATGACGTGGCACAAAGGAGGCAAGAATTACCTCGAAATTCCCAACATAAAAGCCCACGAGCTATCGAAAACAAAAGTGTGCTTTGGGGGCTGTTTGAAAACTAAGCGTCAGTTTCGGTTGAAAGCGTGCAACTAGCAGCTGCACAAGTATAATGTTACTAACTGTCAAAGTTATCTGCTGTTTAGGTCTCCCGCCGAAAGGTTGTAATTTGCGGAAGTTACGTTAGAAAAATAGAAAACGCATACTTCACTGACCGGTACTGACATATTATTTAGCACATGGGTACAGAGAAATACCAGGCACTGATAGTACAGCTGCTGGGCACATAGCCATGTTTTCCTAAACGGACGGGAGAAGTTGTCCGAGACGCATAAGTACTTCTCAATAGCTCGCAACGCATCAGATTATCAAAATAAGGGAATCGATGGGAACGCTGATTATGCACGAATATGAGATCGTTAGACGAGAAGCACTTGAAAGCAATTGATAGGGTCCAAATTCTAGCACGCGAAGTTCCCAGTGATCAAGATAGAAAATGGACTACGGAAATCAATTTGTTTTTTGAAACTGATCTTTGTTTGTTCTGGACTAAGAGATCTCCGTACCGATAGCGGCAATCGATCATTTTCACGGAGTGGTATTTTCACGCTTTACGACTATATCAACACGATGGTTAAAACAGATTTATTCGGCTGACAATCTGAGAAAGTCGTCATCACCAAAGTTCCAGCAGCTGAACTGAACTGAAATTTCGTTTTTTGCTAATATGACACCGACCAAAAAGGGTAATGATTAGGAAAGTAGAGCTAGGAAACTGATAGAACAAGGTTTCTTTACTTTATTCCGGTATACTTGAGGTTTCTCTCGGCAATACTATCTTTCTCAGTATGACGGGGTTCAGGAATAAGGAGATGCCAGCACTTAGGCTTCACTTAAATACTTACAAAACTACTGTTCTGAGCTGAGATCAGGTAGTTAGTAACCGTTTCCTCACCGCGCTCACATGACATTCACACTCTTCGTCGTGACTACGTGACTTTCGGAAGGACGCACAAACGGGCACACAAACAGAAACACAAAATTACCGCTTTATAATAGAGACAGTCGGACTGTCCGGCTAACGCCGGGCTTCCCTCCTCTTGTGATAAACGGCAAACAGCACACACACTTCTTCTTTGGAACGAATAATACTCTTCAGAACACGAAGCTCGATAGAGGAACAATAGGCAATAGGCATTCGAAGCCTTGAATGGCCTTCACAAATGTTGTCGAGTCATAATAATACCATTATCAAATGTCTTCATGAATAAGGCTCCTTCCCTCTAAGATACATCATGTAATGAGAATCCAAGAATGTTAGCGGTCGGATAAGTTTTGCCATGAACGATATCAAAGCAGAGAGAAACCGTGATCCTTCATTGAATCGCTGGGTAGCGGTCGTAAGCAATATGTGAACCAAATTTCATAATCGGTCCCTATCAGTGCACTTATCCTTCTTGTTGAATGAATCATCGTAGAATTAAAGCTAAATCGTAAATAACAAAGGCGCTAGGTTTCAGTTGGTGATTGGATCTTGTTCTGTAAGGCCTCCGCTATCGTCAGTATTCCCATCCTGCCCCCTCTACTACTAATGATTTCGCTCTCTAAGTCTGCGTGATCAGGAGTATTGGATGGAAGGGTTAGTCCTCCCACCTACCATAAGTGCTCCCATCCTGCCGCCTATACTCCTGCCAAGTTTGAACGCCCTCGATCCAAATTGACAATTTTGGCGCAAACCCCGCCCTCTGTGGCCCGATCCTGCCTCCCACCACCCCACCCTGCCTCGAGTACTCTTACCGAATTCGAATTGCTAGGTCCACTGAGGCAGGAGTTACTGTTTTCCAACCAAACATTTATTTCTCGCAAACTCCGCCCACTGTGGGAGGAGTCCGGCCCTGCCACCCACCATATGTGTTCCCATCCTGCTTTGGGTACTCCCACAAAATTTGAACTTTTGGGCTCGCAGGGACAGGAATTATGATTTTCCGCTGAAACATATTGTTCGCACAAACCGGACAGACGGACGGACAGAAAGACGCGAGTGCTTTATATAAAGTAAGAATAGTCCAACCATACCTGGCCATGTTTGACCGCTCCATTGCAGCTCTTACTTCACGCTGAGCGTTATTGAAGGCACTGCAAAATATATAATCATGACAGTTCTTTCTTTCCTACAAGTATGATTTTTAAGTTATAACATCTATCTACAACTTATGTCACATTACCTTGAATGCTGAATCGTTTTGTACGCACAGGCTCAGCACGCATCCGGAGAGGATATGGCTCGTTGGGGCTGAATATGAAAAAACAACTCTGTGTATCAGTATTTAATGTGAGACAATTTATGTACTGACCAGGAAATAATGTGATGCGCTGGGCTCATCCATAATGCCACCGAGATTTTAAGTACCTCCTTAGCCTCATTTCGTAAAAAAGATTCGCAATGCGGTAAAGGAGCGAAAACAGCATCAACGTGCTGACTAGATCGACCCAGAGTTGAGTTATCGATGAACGAATATTCGATAAACATAGTTCATACAACATATTTAAAGGTCATAGTCTG